TGTACTGTACTTGTATGTATTGTTTACTTGAGAATATAACAGAGAATAAACTGCCCAAATACCCTTAAACAAAGGAAAAGTACGTCCTTTATGAAGGCATAGAGCCTTTACTACATGAAAATGAAAATTAATGAATACACTGTGTACAGTAATTTACCTGTTAAGACAGACCTCAGAAAAATACTTTATGATGCATAAAGCTGTCTATAATGAAAATTAATTAACTAAGGATTTTTTTGCCCTGCCAGGGTGTGGCCGAGTTATCCGGACTGCCGGGTTATCGAGTGCCGAGTTTTCAAGACCCTACTGTATTATCAAAAAATTAATAAGATAAAATGATACTCTGATAAATTTATAATATTTAATACTAAATTAAATATTACTATTTGTAATGGTAGGGATCATTTTTTAATATAGAATTCTGTTTTATTGAAATTTATCACAGTCTGTATTAAGAAACACATATGAATTAAAATAGTCAAATGATTTCATTAAATTATCAAATACGTTACAAATAAGTTATTCGTTACGGATGATTTATCAATTTTTATTTACTATTTGCAAGAGAAAAGCAATTTAAAACCATTAATAAACTACTTGCATCAGGAACTGCAAAAATCAAAATTCTACATTTTATCAAGTTTTGAAGACAAATTTTTATAGAGCTTGTTACGCTTTAAAGCAGTTTGAATTGGATTTATAACTTATATAAATCCCTACGATGCAATCTGCGATATCGTCAAATAGATATAGAGACTAATTATATTTGATCATTACATTACTACACGTCTCATTCATCAATGCATAAATGTCGACAAATGGCTGCATTCAGCAGACAACATTCGTAACCAAGCAAATCGGTAGCCGTTACATAACCCCGGATACTCCGCCAAACGACGAGCAATGTCGCATCGGAACAAAAAGTCTCATAGGTCAGTTTCGGGTAGAGTAAATGAAAGACGCTACCAAATACGACGTCAAAACACCAAACATATTCCGAAAGGGCGCTACCGTAGGGGACATTCGGCAGAAAAATACTCGAGGGCTCCAGAACCTTCAAGTCTGCCGAACGCAGCCATCGAGATACGTACGCCAATCATTCAATTTTGTATGTTTATATATGTTAAACATCCAAATTCTTACTTACTTCAGAATTAGGAAAAATTTCTATACTTCAAATTATTCAATTCTCACCTGGACTGGTCGGAACCGAGTCATAGTGGCAATTAATCAATAGGCTCTTGTTTCCGCCGACGGGATTATCCGGAGAAACTTTCACAACAATATTTTTAATATTTCTATAACAAGAAGTTAGTCCATCGAAAAACGATAAAGAAAAGGAACCGTTCGGCTTCTGTACGTCCACTCTCATACGGTTTACCTTACCAGAAGTTGCCTGTAAATGCTGTAACTGCCTGAGAAGATAGTCAAATGCCAATACTTCGTTTTCGTAGCTTCCAGTGGGTTTCGGTCCTATACTTGATAATTCATTTAAATAATTTCTAGCTCTTTGCTCGCTAAACCTTTCGGTCAAGCGATCCGCGTGAACAGTTTCTGTAACTGTTTTAGGTTTAGGTAGATAATTATCTGTTTGTATAACAATCATAAACAATGTTCCAAAGTAGAATAAGATCACTAAAGAAGTCTTCTCGCTCAGAAGATGATGATAGTATTTCTTCGAATCTTTATCATCGAATAGATATTGGGTGCGTGGATAAGATGCAGAGGAAGCAAATTTCGACCTCTGCCGTATATCACGCTCCATTTTATGTACTACTTAATGCCTTACTACTACCGATAAATCAGCTACTCTCTAAAGAGACCGGCATCGAAGCAAAGGAAAGACTCGATCCGAAAACCGAGAGTGCAGACGATTCGATGCGCCGCCTACCGGTAATTATAGATTGACATTTTTCAAAAATTGAAACAATGAGATCAAAGGGGACGACGTGTTACGTTTGTATTTTTGAGGATGGAGGAAAAAAAATACTTCGCCAGCTATTGGAAATAAAATATTATTTCATTATTTGCAAAAAAACATTCAGTTTAGCCCATCTGGATGTAATTCGTTTGAATTTTAAGAAAATTGTTTTTAAAATAATATTGAAAAGTGCTAAACGATTTCCCTTTTTTGATCTCGTTATTGAAATAAGTTAAAAATACCAAAAAAATATACATTTATTTCTTTTATAAATGGTATATAAAGTTGGAAAATTATTGAAACTATTTTTTATACCTATCCGAACAGAAATATAGTGAATAAGTAACTCACGGTTATAGTATATAAACACTGATGTTATGATATCGGTATATCCCTGAGGCATGATATGAACCGTAAGGGAGCCATTTATTGGGGTCCGTTCAAGTATTACGGGTTTCCTTTTTCGATCCTCTCCCTCCCCCATTCTCCCGTCATCAAAATCGAAACATCTCCCATCCCCTAATTATGTCATTGGGTCAAAAGTTTAAACCATTCAAACTACAGTAGTTTGAATCGATTATACGGGATAACGTTCAAAGACATTCATAACGATTTTCCGCTCCACCCTCCTAGTCGATAAAATTTTTAAGCATTTTGCATTACCGAAATGTTTCAAATTCAAAGTCATAAAATATAGTAATAAATAAAAGATCATCTGATTTTATTACTTGATAATCTTTAATGTGATCAAATTGTTCGTGGGCCTACTATAAATAGGATTACAGTGCGGATAGTCCGTACTTTAATTAAAGCTCTGTCCGTGTCCGTACCGTATTTAGAAAAAATAAACAAAATGTCCGTACTTTTCAACTGATTTTCAACCATACTTTTTTAAAATTCTTTCTGTCTTGTGGGCAGTTAGAAGGCCTCTTATAGCAGGCCCATTATGGGTTCGGCTAGGCCCACAATGGGGCGAACGGGTGGTGAAGGACGGGACCCGACATATCCGAACGGACCCCCCCCCCGAAAAATTCCCTACTTTTTTGGGGCTACAAAACTTTGACTTGGCTAAATAAAGAAGGAAATGAATTTTTATAGTTCGTGTTGGCAAGAACATTTATTACATAATTCATTACATTCTTTGCCACCAGTGATAAAAAAGACGTAGAAAACATTCACTGTGATATTTCATAACGAATATCGCACAGCTCTGATAATTTGATTAGTGAAAAAAAAATACCTTTTATAACACAATAACCGCAGAAAATAATGAAAACTTATCACTTGATCTAACCTGTCCAGTTTGTTAAAATAAAACCAGTGGAGCTCATCAGTGTAGTTCCTGCTTTAAACCTGTTCATCCTATTTGCGGATTGTGTAAAGGCGATGAAGATATGGGTCAAAGATTATCTGTTTTATACGCAAATGAGAGCATAATATACAAATTAAAAGAGAAGAAGTGCATAAAGGAGTTAAACGGTCTGAAGAGAAGATGGTTGACGATACAGCTAAGAAACTTTTCCTATTAGATATTGGAAAAAGTATTTTTCTTAATGTATCAAAAATATTATGGAAAAATTTTTGATTTCAGAAACGGAGTTTACTGTACAAGGTAAGGATTAAATCCGCCATAATTAAAAATTGGTTCTGTCGTTACGAATTACAAGAGTCATCGAACTATTATAATGATGAAATACCAGATCAATATCTCTGTGAGAAGTCGTGACTAACCAATTAAGAACACTTAATAACAATAAGTGTTTTTTAAAGATTTTAAATGGAACAGTTAACTTTATTAGTTATTATAAATAATTATATTATTACCAAAAAAAAGCATGAAATAATTTAAATACTGTACTCTTACTATAATTTTCAAGTTTATAAATACAGTAGACCCCACTATAACACTGTTGATAATTTCGTGTTATATGAATTCCATGTTGTACGAATCACTTAGATTTTACAAATATGTGAGCCGTTCACAGCCCGGCACACGTATTTGTAAAATCTAAGTGACTCGTACAACATGGAATTCATATAACACGAAATTATCAACAGTGTTATAGGGGGTCTACCGTAAATAATTTCGATTATGCAATATACTGTATGTTGTTTTACTTCTAATATATTTGTCCCTAACCTTAATTAATGAATAATTCACTTTTCATTGAAGAAACTGAGATTTCTGCCTCTTTACAATACAGTAAATGTAGCCAGCAGCATAATCCAGCTAAATATCAGTTAGCTTTATTACAAAACGACTAAACGCTTTGTAAAGCGGCTAAATTAACAATATGGCTGCCACGTATACATTACAGCAGAAAAGTAAAAACACATTTGAAAAATATCCTCGAAAAGGAAAATTTCAAAGATATTTTTCAATGTGATATAATTCGACTGAACCACATTAGATCAAAAGATCTTGAACTATTTAATAAAGTGTAACTCAACATCCGCGCGTAAGATAGAAACTTCTTGGTTGGAAAATTAGTGTATCAAAAACTCTTCCTAGTAGAGGCCTGACTAGATTGTTGGATAAGTAATATTTATTATAATTGTGTTCTGCATCAAATAAAAAAATTCATCGAGATTGGCTAAGTAGATATTGAGAAAAGTGAGATTGTAGATTTACCTAGAAGCGAGAGATATGCCGATAAAACATTTTATAGGAAATGCGGTTGCACTACCTATGATAAATAAACCTAACTGACAGTTTTCTTTATCATCTGTATGTTATTTTTTATCTTTGCTTCTCTTTTGAAACGTCGAGTTCAAAAGCAAAACAAACTTTCTTTCTATCACAATATGGCGGCTTGTTCTATAGTGACGCTACTTCCGGCTTTGAGTGCTCCGCTAGTAGAAACAAAGCACTGCTGTTCGAATTGGATATAATAGCTCCATGGAATTGTCTAGATCAGCAACTTTCTGACCTCACGGACCACTAAATGCAATGTTCTGTTTAAAGACGAGTCCAGGTACTGTACAGTCTGCAGAATGACTCTTGGCGGATTAGAATCTTGAAAGAGTGGGGAACAAAACATTTTCCCATGAACATCGTGAAAATAGATCAGTTTTCAGGTTGAGGGTATCATATTCTGGAACGGCATTATACTTAATGACCGCACGGAGCTCCATATGTCTCCTAAGGGTGCCATTACTTCAAGAAAGTATACAGACGAGGAATTGAAATCTCACGTGAGACTTTTCCCATGTGCTGTGGGTGCAGATTTCATTTTCATAAGCGATTTTGCCAGCAAAAATTTGGCTGCGCTCATCAATAACTTTCTTGGTAGTGAAGACAAGACATTGCTGGACATTCCATGCAACGAATAACTTCGGATATAAATCCCATAGAACATGCACGGGACGCTTAGGAAACGAATTGCATCTCGTTAGCCACCATCAGAGGAGGAGCTTCAAGATACTCTTATTCGAGAACGGACTTTATTCCCAACAGAGCTGATAAACGAAGTTTTAGCTAGCTTGAACAATCGCTATGAAGTTTGTGCGCGTACAAGAGGCAACCATGCACCATCATTATCTGTGCAAAAAAATCTGCGATAATGCTAATGCCACGCTTTTGTTGCTTTTTGTTTAGCGTAATTTAGATTGAAATTTTTTCAATTGTTTTGTTGCATAAAGAATACAATGTTTCTCTTGAATGTTAATAAGTTCCATGTTGATCTGTTCAGTAGTTCCTGAGATATAGACCAAAATAATGCTTATTTCTTTTTAACGTTGGATGACAAAGTTTTGCTTAATTTTTGGATATGAGTTTATATTTGTATTGTTCTTGATTGGATTTCCGAAATCTCCTTTTGCCAAATAGTTTATTCACGCGACTCGAACAAAGCATTAAATATTGGCTTACTGAACCGGAAAATGTAGAAATATAATATTATTTATCAGAATTATATCTGAATATAACATTTTATACATTCTTTATATCGGTATACTGTACTTTCTATACTGTATACTATATTTTATACTATCATTTACTATTCTGTATATACTACTTAAACAAGTACAACTCTTTAATTTTAACGTTAATAATTGTAATGAAATTACATATTTATTATATGGACTTATTTGATAAAATGAAATATAATAATTTAAATCTGTACATTATCTAGAATATAGTCCAGTAAATGCACCTATTAAATTTTATTCTCTATTTCCTGTAAGATAATCATCGGACAGTGACTTTGATATAATTCCATTGTAAAATTATATACCCTTGTTAAGAAAATATTCAAGATGTAATCAGATTTTTTTTTGGTTTCAAAGAATATTTTTCTTTTATAAACTCGATTATATACACACGTCATTTAACACAAGTGAAATTTTTAATATATAAAATACATAATATAAGCCTATTTATGTTTAGTGTTGTAAAATGATTTCTATAGCTGGATAAATTTTATTTAAATTTCATGGAATTCATATAACACGAAATTATCAACAGTGTTATAGGGGGTCTACCGTAAATAATTTCGATTATGCAATATACTGTATGTTGTTTTACTTCTAATATATTTGTCCCTAACCTTAATTAATGAATAATTCACTTTTCATTGAAGAAACTGAGATTTCTGCCTCTTTACAATACAGTAAATGTAGCCAGCAGCATAATCCAGCTAAATATCAGTTAGCTTTATTACAAAACGACTAAACGCTTTGTAAAGCGGCTAAATTAACAATATGGCTGCCACGTATACATTACAGCAGAAAAGTAAAAACACATTTGAAAAATATCCTCGAAAAGGAAAATTTCAAAGATATTTTTCAATGTGATATAATTCGACTGAACCACATTAGATCAAAAGATCTTGAACTATTTAATAAAGTGTAACTCAACATCCGCGCGTAAGATAGAAACTTCTTGGTTGGAAAATTAGTGTATCAAAAACTCTTCCTNTCTTACCTTCATCTCGAGAACAATGTTAGATAAATGAAATTCAAGACCAGATATGGAAAGCTTAGGGGCCCCGATTAAATATATATGAACTTCCGATGCAAACCGGAAGTCACGTTATTTCAATTCAAAACTTTCCCCTGAAAGCAGTTAATAGATGACCGGCACGACTCTATTGTTAACGGAAAAGTGTGATGTATAGACACTACAATACTAATTGTATGTATACAATACATATATACAATACAATATATACAATACAATAATGTAACAAGATGTATAGATGCAAGACACTACAATACTAATATGAAGTGGAGAGCATTGCAGCCCGTTATTGTGACTGAAGTTATCGTTGTGAAAACTTTATTTCCTTGAAAAATAATTAAAATGGATTTAAATAATTTTCTAAATTATAAAAAAAAATTTGTTGAGATGAAGTAAGAAAAAATATTGATTAACACATAATTTCACAATGCTATAAAAGTTATTCTATTTTATTTGCACACGGAAATTAGAGGTTAGGCTATCGATGATCTTTAAAAATTATTAGTCCAATGGGTTATATATGAACGTAACGCAAAGAGCGAAATTGAGACGATTTGGGCTGGCATTACGCTTCCAGCGAATTTTTTCATAATGCATGGTTCGAACTCCTAATGTCTGAGTCCGCGCCCTCATATTATGAAAAAGGGGAACACAGCTATAAAAAAGCGAATCGTACATTATTCAAGGAGCTTTAAAACTCTTATGATTCAACGACGGATCAGAACTCCCATAGGCTAGAAATCACGAATTTTCTGTTGTTTGGGACTCTCTTGGACGAGACGAAAAGGGGTGCATGTACCCCAATGTACGGGCACCCATGGCCTGAGTTATTTTTATGATGTAGTAGGTTTAAAAGACATATATTTATTATATTTGATGATTTTAAAATTTTCTTTAAATTTGATTTTTCAGCTTTCATATTCTGTTCGGTGGAATTTTAAGGTTTGGGAACTACTGCTCTAGATCAGTTAAACGGTGTACCTCAAACACTAGTGTTCCGTGAAATTATGAAAGCAGCGTACTATTCCGTATACATGACGAATATAATTTTATTATTTGTACTGCATTATATCCTTTCCGAAATTCATAAAGCATAATATGCTGGATATCTGCAGTCATTGATTTTGTTCAAACGATACGTGAAATAAAAAAGTTCCAAATTAAGTTCCAAACAAAGAATACAATCTCACACATCAGTGTCAAGTGGCTGTTAAATTTAAGCAAAAACTTTCTTTTCAACCCAATAGCAGGAAATTGATCTGTAGCTACAAATTCCTGGTACACAAACCTCTAATGTTGAAAAATGATCAATAAATTCTTCATCTTGCTTTCTTGAGTCTCAGAAATTGTAGTCTTTCATTAAGATGACTGCTGCTAAGTCTCCAGGTTGTAGCCCTAAATCCAACTCTCATCCCCTGTAATGATCCTTGACGTAAAGTTGGGTACTCGGTGGTCTGTTTATGATAATCGGACTAGAACTATTACACCAGCCCAGCATTTGATGTGATAGTTCTTCTGATCTTGAGTCAATAGACAGGGGACAAATTTGGCAGCAATAAGATGCACGTCCAGATTGCTTGTTACCACCACCAGCATTAAATGAAATACCAACATTAACAACTTCCTGAAGGATCATTATAATGATTTTTTAAGTTTCTTCAATGTTTTTGGGAAATATTTAGGGTATGATCATCCAGACTTTCTTCATTCTCCGGGAATATTTGGCCCCTTCTAAAATGAAAATGCCACTCAAAACACTGACTTTAGCCTATTGCTTCATTGGTATAGACTTACTGAAGCATTTCAAGTCTTTGTGGCAGATTTTCCAAGTTTAATGAAAAATTTAACATTGAATTTTCATTCAATTTTCAAGTTTAATCTCAAATTGTTACAACATTGCAAAATTGCATATAGCAAATTCACTTTAAAGAATTCAACTCTACGTGACAGACTGACACTCAAATGCTTTAAGGCAGCAAGAATGGCAAAGACTATTTTTGTGCTCTTGGCAAACAGCAGGAACATTTGGTTTCCTTTTGATCCCACCACATATAATTGTTTAAGAATTAAATCCTTATTGTTATTATGGCTTTACATTTTAGATTTATAAGGGTGGATCAATACGTAACCAGTCAATAAGCATATTCCATTGTTGTTTTTGGCTGGTTAGTTATTGATCCATCATTATATATTAATAAAAATATAATTTTCTGAAATAATATTTATATGTTTTGTACAAATAATATTGACAATTAGTTTTAAAGAAAGAGCTCTGCACAACTTTTCCAGCACTCAAATAAGAGGTTAATGGGACCAAAAAAAAAAGTAATTTTCATTTAGTGTTTGTAAAAATTAAAATAAGGCAAAAGTATTATTTTTTGGAGTAAGGTTGTGTTATTAAGAAAACTGTAAATGAGTAAAAATTTGCATTAAGCCCGATTCCACTTGAATATGACTCATTTTAATCTCGAAATGAAAAAGCATCAACTTCCCATATATAGTATTGCTGCCAAATTTCAAAATTTTTGGTCTGTGGGTCCTGAGATATAAAGCAAAATACAGGCCAATAACACAGAAATTTTGTTTCCTGTTTTTTTTTATGTTTTTGAAATCAGGAAACCTTAAAATGTAAAGGTTAAATCTGAATGTTTTGCATTTCAATTTTATTTTTACTCTATTCTATAATAGCTAAGTAAAAATTCTAGAATTCCTAGTTATTTAAATTTGTTCCAAAAACATGATGACTTTGTCTACTTCATTTTTTTCGGACAGCAAACTTTTTTGATATTGTCATTCAGCACAATCTTAAGTTTCTCTTCCTAACAACCACTTCCATAACAAGGATAATAATTCCAAGTCCATACTATTAATCATGCCATTCCTTAAACCTCCATAAATCCCCATCTTTGATCTAAATTACCTCTGAATTCTAGAATCTTTACTCCCTCCCATTCTATTTCCATATTTCTCTCATACACAACTTGACCTAAAACTGTGATGACTCAGGCTTTCTCGATATCCTTCTTACATTCTCAGATCCTGGTCCTCAATGATCTTTTTGTCTCTCCAATGATTCTCTATGATATATAAAGTGAATAGCATTGAATTGAAAAATTTTCATTTAAGTTTTATAGAAAAATGAACATTTTATGATTGAGAAGTTTTTTTATTTGAAAAAATATTTTTTAAGAAAACAACATACTTTTTTAAACAAAGTTTTATTTTTATGGAGAGTTTTATATAAAAATAATTCATTCCATAAATTTCTTAATGATTTAGAAAATTTTTTACATTAATAATTAAATGAAAATCTGAACAATTATATACATTTAAATTTCACTTCATCACTTGTTATCAATATCATTAGCAAATAATTTCTTTTTAATTTTCAACCGAAGGAGGATTTTCATTAAATTCATGCTGCTGACGAATCAATTCCCAATACAGACCACGCTTCTTCCTTAACATTTTGTGTGATCCAAGCTAAAAATATAATATACAATTTTAAAATCATACTTTTTATTTGTAATAATAAAATAATAATAATTTGAATTTTCTATATGTTTATTACAAATAAGTAAATAAAAAGTAGATAGTTTGTTCTGCAATTTTCTTTACATCAATATTAATTTATCATTATAATTCTGTATACAAATATTAAAATTTTTATACAGAATTAATTGAAAGTCATAAATAAATGATGATAATTTTAATATTCAAATATTTTAAATAATTTCTATTATCTGATTATGTGTTCAGAATATATTATGTAAATTAATCTATGTTTACAGTATATTAGTTATTTCTTTTCTGATTGTTAAAATTAAAAAATTATTTATAATTGCTGTGTTGTTTGCTTACTGATCCCTTAACAGACATTTTAATATGATTTATATACTGTAAGGTTTCTTTTTATGCGGTGGATACGTTCTACAGAAAAGCGCATTTAAAAAATTCGCATAAAAAAAGACTTTACTTGCCTTGAAAAAGTAGGGATACGTTCCGTAATTTTCTAAAATCGCATAAAACCAAAACAACGAGTTAAAATTAACTTAAAACCGCATTAAAAAGTTTGCAGAAATTAAAAGAAATAGGCTGCTTAATAAATTACTTCGAATGTCTGAAAGAAATTCATATAAAAGCTTAAAATAAACTTGTATTCAAACTTAATTCAGTTTATTTTATTGAAAAGTAATA